GTTACTTCTCAATAAAATCTGTTTTTCCTTTGATAATAATCTCTGTATTCTTTTCATTGCACTTTTCCTACAACACCTTAGTCCAAGTCTTTATTCTCTCTTGCATTTAGCTGGACTTCTTGATTTCAACCTGTATCTCTTTTCACCAATCTTGTCCATTGCTGACAAGCTGATCTAATCAAAATGATTGTTTAATTCCTTATTTTTTTTCTTGCCAAATTCACTGTGTCTCTTCCAGTGGAAAGCTACTCAAGGATATTTTAATTGGACAGAGAAAAATCAGTTTAGCATTTTAGTACTCTTTTCAAAGAAATGTTACAAATGGGTTTATACTATTAAAAAAGTTTAACTATCAACAGCATCAGGAATGTTAAGTGAAAATAGTTCAATTTAAAAATTAAATTAAAATCTAATTTAAAGATTTGAGATAGCCCTTACAATGTACTTGGATTAAAAATGTTACCCCTAGAATAGTCTTATCCTAACAAAGCTCTTAATTATTTGTCTTTCACATATAATTTTCTGATTCTTTCATCATTCAAATTGAGTGAAACTCGTATAAACCCAGGAGGTGCCTCCCAAATTGTTTCATACAGAGGTTAAAAGTTGTGTGTGGACCAGTGAATAATGGGAGTAATGAAGGGTAGAAGCAAAGATTTCACAGTCAAGTAAATTTGGAAATGTTTCTTTCTGTACTTCCTTAAACACTTTCTCTGAGTATAATCATTAGCATTTCACAGAACACTGGGCAGAACAGTTTGGGAAATCTTCTCACAGAACATTAGTTAAATTAAAATTAAGTTAAAAAAAAATTGCCTCCAAGGTACAATGTGTATACCAGAGGTAGCAGTTATCAAATAGCAACAATTGGAATATAGACGTCTCAGGTAGATTATATTAGTCTCAAATAAATTAATGCCATCCAATAAGTTTCTACATCACCTTGAAGATTTTTACAAATACAGAATCTCAGGCTGTTCCTCAAAGTTAGTGAATTCCAATCTTCAGAATCTTAGTAAGATTTCCATGATTAATATGCATAATAAAGTTTGAGAGGCACTGGTTTAGAACAAAGGTTGGCAATCTTTTTGTATAAAGGGCTAGTTATTTCTGTGGGGTTTGTAGGCCATATAATTTGTAATTACTCAACTATGTTTATCATAATTAAAAAGTCACTATATTAAAAAGACATAACAAAGATGCACTTACAACTAAGAACAGAACTTCAGAAGCCACAAGTCAAAAAAGTATGACAGAACTGAAAGAGGAAATTGCTATGTTTGAATATGGATTTTCCCCTACAAAACTCACACTGAGTTTGGTCCCCAGTGTGGCAGTGCTAGGAGGTGGGGCCTAGTGAGGGGTGTATTGTGGGTCACAGGGTGAAGCCTTCATTAAAGGATTAATTCCTTGGTCTAGAGAATAGATTAGCTATATCAAGTATAGCATAAAAAACAAATAACTCGGCCGGCGCCACAGCTCAATAGGCTAATCCTCCACCTGCGGCACCGGCACACCAGGTTCTAGTCCCGGTCGGGGCGCCAGGTTCTGTCCCGGTTGCACCTCTTCCAGGCCAGCTCTCTGCTATGGCCTGAGAGTGCAGTGGAGGATGGTCCAAGTCCTTGGGCCCTACACCCCATGGGAGACCAGGAGAAGCACCTGGGTCCTGGCTTCGGATCAGCGCGGTGTGCCGGCCACAGCGGCCATTGGGGGGTGAACCAACAGCAAAAGGAAGACCTTTCTCTATGTCTCTCTCTCACTGTTCACTCTGCCTGTCAAAAAAAAATAACCCATAGATACAGAAAGAAATTTAAAAGAAAATTAGAAAACATCTCGAGACAGTGTAACACTAGCATTAGCAATAGACATGTAGATCAATATAAATAGTTAAAAATAAAACTTTTACATTTCACTGATTCTAGACAAAGGTATTAAGGCAATTCAGGGGATGAGAGTACACTCTTTTCAACATAGTTCTGGAACAATTAGCAATTTGTATTTTAAAAAAAAATCCTTACCTCAACATACACAAATATTAATTCAAAATGGATCAGATATCTAAATGTAAAAACTAAAGTGATAAAGCTTCTGGAACAAAAACCTAGGACAAAAATCATTGTGACCTAGGGTTGAGCAAAGATTTCTCAAGATACTGAAAGAAAAAACTGAAACTGCATGTTGTAAAAATTAAAAATCTTTACACTTCAAAACGCATTAATAAGGGGCCCACATAGTGAGTGGTGGCAAATGGAGTTATGTGATGCCAGCATCCCACGTGGGTGCTGGTTCATGTCCTGGCTGCTTCACTTTCAATCCAGCTGCCTGGTACTGTGCCAAAGAAAGCAGTGGAAGATTGCCCAAGTACTTGGGCCCCTGCACCCACTTGGGAAACCCAGATGAAGCTCCTGGCTTCAGTCTTGAGCAGCCCCTGGACATTGCAGCTGGAGAGTGAACCAGTGGATGGAAGATCTCTGATTCTCCCTCTTTCTGTAACTGCCTTTCAAGTAACTATTAAATAAAAAGCATCATTAAGAAAATGAAAATATAAGCTGTGGACTGGTAGAAAACATTTTCAAATCATTCATCTCATACAGAGGATTTATCTAGAATAAGGAACTCTTAAAACTTGAGATATGACCCAATTTAAAAATGGGGAAAAGATTTGAATAAGATTCTTCAAAAACAAAGAATAAATGGCTAGCACATACATTAGAAGATACTCAATATCATTAGTCATTAGAAATATATAATTAAAATCACATGACATACCACTTCACATCTAAGTTGAGGGGCATTATGAAGTAGATCAACTTCAGAAAAGAGTAGAATGGAAGGTAAGAACCTAGAAATTGACTCTTAAAGATATCTTTGCTCACATTCTCTTGAAAGCTTTTGTATACTTCCAGGGACACACATCCTATATCTGAAGATCACTGCTGTATACACATAATACAAATACACAAAATTTGGTAACTAAGAAAATTTTTGGTTAACAGGATCTGATGCCCTAGAAAGGCATTCTGCATCAATGAGGCTGACTCAGCAAAGAAAAAGTAGGGCTGGGAAAGAAGCTAACAGGGAGAAGAGGAGGGGGAACAGCTCTTCTGAGTCCTTATTACGGGGAGGACACCCCCAGGCAACACCCAAGATGTTGCCATCATTTGGTTGACTCCCACATAGGCTCTTTCCCCAGCCCACACTGACTAGAAAGCACCAGGTCTAGGCAAGTCTGCCTTCAACTACATCCAGAAAGCACTCTGCAACAACAAACTGGTACAAAGCAGAGAACTGCACCAAGCAGGTCTGACTTCGCTTTGTGCCCCACATTCCAGTCTGATGTACTCAAGTTACAGCACTGGTCACACTGGAACCACAATTGCTTGTTTATATGCCTGCCTCTTACTCTTGCCGCCTTTAAGGGAAGAAGCAGCCTGACAATTTCAGCACCTAGTGTAGTGTGCAGCAGACAGTGCAGAGTTAATAAATGTTAATGGTGTACTGATTTCTTAGGGTTGTAGGTAACTCCAACTGTACAGTTTTTTTTTTCATTTTCAATTATCTTTATATACAGAAGATCGATTCAGTATATATTAAGTAAAGATTTCATCAGTTTGCACTCACACAGAAACAAAGTGTAAAATACTGTTTCAGTACTAGTTATAGCATTACTTCACATTGGACAACACACTAAGGACAGATCCCACATGAGAAGTAAGTACACAGTGACTCCTGTTGTTAACAAATTGACACTCTTGTTTATGGCCTCAGTAATCACCCTAGGCTCCAGTCATGAGTTGCCAAGGCTATGGAAGCCTTTTGAGTTCACCGACTTCGATCTTATTCTGACAGGGTCATAGTCAAAGTGGAAGTTCTCTCCTCCCTTCAGAGAAAGGTACCTCCTTCTTTGATGGCCCCGTTCTGTCCACTGGGATCTCACTCACAGAGATCTTCCATTTAGGTCTTCCTTTTTTTTTTTTTTTTCCCAGGGTGTCATGGCTTTCCATGCCTAAAATACTCTCATGGGCTCTTCAGCCAGATCTGAATGCCTTAAGGGCTGATTCTGAGGCCAGAGTGCTGTTTAGGACATCTGCCATTCTATGAGTCTACTGTGTATCCCGCTTCCCATGATGGATCGTTCTCTCCCTTTTTGATTCTATCAGCTAGTATTAGCAGACACTAGACTTGTTTGTGTGATCCCTTTGACTCTTAGACCTATCAGTGTGATCAATTGTGAATTGAAATTGATCACTTGGACTAGTGAGATGGCATTGGTACATGCCACCTTGATGGGATTGTATTGGGATCCCCTAGCATGATTCTAACTCCACCATTTGGGGCAAGTCCGATTGAGCAAGTCCCAAATTGCAACTGTACAGTTTGAATATCCTTGTCTATGTATATATATATCCTTGTCTATAAAAATAAACATTTTTGGGCAGTAAATGTACTATAAAATTTGGGGTTTTTTCTTTCTTACAGATAGGTTATAATTAAGAACCTGATATGTTATTATGAACCTAATATCTTTTATATAAAATCTTCAGGGACATGGCCATCTAAAAGAAATGTGCTATAGTGAGGAGACCAGGTACTAGAGAAAAGCCAGGTCACCTGGCTCTGGCTAGCACCATGACTTTGGGTATGACTTCTCTGGCTTTTAGTTTCCTCATGTGTAAAATGAAAGGAATAAACTACTGTCCCTAAACATTCTCCAAATGCTAGTATTCTAGGGGTCTTAAATCTGTGAGTCTTTCACTAATGAACAATTAAGAAGTAGACAGTATGTCACATACTGAGTATTCTTGCACTTTGGTACCTTTTTGCTAGAGAACAAATTATCCAGAATGTACTCAAGGCTTCAATTCCATGAACAAAATTGAGTAGGCATCAGAAAAATCTCCTTTTGAAATCTGACAGTTGATTTTACAATTTCAACTTTAACTTTGAAGCTAGCGTTTCATTAGAAATCATAGGCACTGATAAAATAAGCATACACTTACCTGCCAGGACACTGCTCCCAAAATTGCTGTTGCAAGAAGACTAAAAAAAACTAACTGCTCTGAAATTAAGCAGAAATGACGCATCCCTTTGGATGCCATGATTCTATCAAGACTATTGTTATCTGCCCTGTGGGTGAAATAGACCTTATGGCAGTCATTCAATTTGGTATGGAATCCCCAAAGAGTTAAAAGAAAAATAATATGGCAAATCATCCAAAAAATTCCAAAAATTGAAAAGCCTGGTATTACAAAATACCAGAGATGAGTGTCTCTAAGTTTGAATGCTGAAAGAATAAAAAATGTAAGCTCTATCATTCCCGCAAAAACAACTGAAAGTCTTCTGCAAATTCTTCCACGGTACAGAAAGGGTTTCCACCGTTCAGTTACTGAAAGTCCACTAAAATAAATGTCAAGGAAAGGATCAGTTATCAGGCAAATAAAAAAACATGCAAAAGCAATCGGATTTTTGGGAGTTTCCAATGAGGAAAAGAACAATAAAACGGAAAAAATAACCAGATTTGGAATAGCTAGAAAAGACTTCATTCTCAGATCAATAATCAGCAAGGCCAAAGCTACAACAAGCAAAATGACGCTCAGAGACTTCTCTACCAACATAGTTGTGCTGGCAATGGCAAACCCAACAAGTTCCAAAAATTCAACTGAAGTTAGTAAAGTGGGTCGATGACGGACATAACCAGAAATCCTCTCCACCAAAGCGCATAATATCCTTAATACTATGGAAGTTAAAAGCAAATATTTGGTTGATTCTTCTTTCACATCATTTTTAAAGGACGAATTATCAAGAAAACATAGAAGGCCAAGCAAGAATCCAAACCAAAGATTGGAGAGACTTAAACTTGCTGCTTCCATTGAAAAATAATAATACAGTATGCTGGCAATTCCAAGAACAAAAAGACCAAGAATAAAAATTACCAAAATTAGGGAATTTGCTGTTTTTTCCCATCTTACATAAAGACCTAAGCATATAGCAACAAGTAAGTTGATTCTGGCTAAATAGCCAAGATACCGCACTGAAGAATGCATGTTCACTTCTCTGTTTACTTCTTCCAGTCTTGTCATTGCTAAATACAGACAATGACTAAAGCAATAACGCAGTGATTTACACATGTAATCTGGCTTTTTCTCCACGTTACAAAAATCAACTGCGTGTATTTCATCCAGAAAATCCAGTAAGTGTGTAATTCCTATTTCAACATTTTCTCAGGTGGAAATTTGTTTCTAGTGATCTAAAAAAAGAAGAAAATTCAGTGTTAGCTTTATATACCTTTTATATGCATCTTCTTTATGCAAAATAATAATATAAACAAAAAGTTCCTTCCAAAAACCAGTTTCAAACCTGATTTGCATTCTCTTAATTGTAACTGTTTCCAGCTTAAAACCTTGACAGTTTACCCAAATGAAAATGGCAATGCTTTCAACACATCATAAGCTAAATTTGTATGGCTGAAACAGCATCAGTAGAAGTGCTCTTCTAGACAAGGTGAAGAATTCACCTAGTCTACTATTATTCCAGTACCTTGTCTGTCAACAACATGCAAATTCATACATCTCATGATGTTCAACTTAGTTCAGATTATAGCCAATGGCCTTGGCATCGTGGAAAGCTATTTAACTATTAGAATAAGGAATTTCATCACTACCATTAATTTGAGAAGCACCACTACACAGCAATAGCAATCTATAAGCCCCTAAGTCTTATCAGAAGGCAGTTCTGGAATGCTATAAAATCCTAGTCTTCACATTGTTTGTCTGACAAACTTAACAAAAGAGTTTCACTATTGAAGTTACTTAGTCACTAAAGTCAAGCCATATTTCTCCCTGTATTTTTATCTCACGTAAATTATTTTCTAATCTAAATACCATCTCTGTAGCGATCCAATTCCTTAACTTTCTAGCCAAAATTGAAAATTAGAATGCTGACCAAGAGTCATTATAAAGTAAATGAAGTTTTGCCGGCGCCGCAGCTCACTAGCTATTCCTCCGCCTTGTGGCGCTGGCACACGGGGTTCTAGTCCCAGTCAGGGCGCCGGATTCTGTCCCGGTTGCCCCTCTTCCAGGCCAGCTCTCTGCTGTGGCCCGGGAAGGCAATGGAGGATGGCCCAAGTCCTTGGGCCCTGCACCCCGTGAGAGACCAGGATAAGTACCTGGCTCCTGCCACTGGATCAGTGCGGTGCGCCGGCCGCAGTGCGCCGGCTGTGGCAGCCATTGGAGGGTGAACCAACGGCAAAGGAAGACCTTTCTCTGTCTCTCTCTCTCACTGTCCACTCTGCCTGTCAAAAAAATAAAAAATAAAAAATAAATAAATAAAAAAATAGTAAATGAAGTTTTCACTTCTTAAAGTTACTGTAACAATTATTTGTTAGAGAAACCAGATAATTATTTCAACCTTAAATACCCCAACAAGCTGTACCTAAAACATGGTAGTGGTCAAAAAATGATTTAAACAAGTATTAGATAATTTTTCACTTGTTTCTAGTATACTGTTTCAAAACAACTGACCTATTGCAATGACAAATGGTCACACTGAATATCGTGGGACAATTCAACCAGATTCAAAACATAACTGGTTTATAAGCAGTCATTTGTACTTTCTTCACAGGGGCACACCAGAGACCCAACAGAAACATGAGACTATCTGGAATTAACACTTAAGAACTCATTTGGCTAGAAAGGAATGTCACTCAAATAACCATGGGGTGTTAGGGAGTTCTAAGTATTATCACTAATTCTACTTCTACATGTACAAAAAGCTTATTTTTTTATAACAATCTTTTTAGGTATTCCAATTGGTTTTCCTCAATTATATTCTAACTCAGTAATTTATTAAGATACCATACCATGTTAATGTCTTCCTTTTGTATATTTTAGTTTTTTTCTACCTAAGAGCAAGAAATTGATCAAATCTGTAATATATTGAGATTTTCAAAATACCACTCTTGTGTATTATATCACCACACAACAAATACACTGATACATCTCAAAGGGCTGATGGTACAGTCTGGGCTCAGACTACTGAACATTGCTGGAGGAAAAGAAAAATCGCACATTAGGCTAACTGGTGTCACTCTAAGTTCACGAAACATCTCATTCTCTGCAGCTATTCAGATCTCTCTTCCCTCTCCTCAAATCTCCGAAACCCACTTCCCACTACATTTCCACCAGAAGATCAGCTCCTACAGAATCAGTCAGAAGGGAGCTCACTTGCATTTCCAACATCACAAACTCACATCTCCCTCTATCTCGCCATACAGGAAAAGAAGGGTGCCCTTGCCCTATCTAAGGCTAAATCTTTCAGCCACACCATGTGTATCTTCCCTTCTACCTCATCCAGAGTCACTTTGTTTCCTGTCTCGCTTGTCTCTTATCCACTAGCAGTTAAACATTTGCAAATCTTTTTTAAAATGTTACCCCTCAAAAGATACAAAACCAAAACTTGCTCATCTGCATCTCTTCGATCAAGTTCAATCTTCTGTCCTCTTCTTGATAAGTAGTATTTGGTTGTTTCACCTCTTCCCATTCACTTTTCAGACTACTAAACAGTGGTTGCCACCACACAACTGCTCTGCTGAGCTCTGAAATGACTTGTAAATTCCAAATATGCCAGGTGCTTATTACTCAGTAGCCTGCACAATCTTTAAACAACCTTTGACAGTGACACTGATCTTCTGAAACCTCCCCTTCGCTTGGCTTCCAAAGGCCAATTCTCCAGTTTTTCTTTCTAATTCACTAGTCTCTCCTCAATCTCCATAAAAGCTCTTCATTCTCAATTCACCCTTTGAATGTTCCATGACAAGCCAAGGGGCCTAGTGTTTTGGCATAGGAAGTAAAGCCACCACCTGTGGTGCTGGCATCCCATCTGGAAGCCAGTTCAATCCCAGCTGCTCCACTTCCAGTCCAGTTTTCTACTAATGGCTTGGACAAATCATGGAAGATGGCCCAAGCACTTGAGCCCCTGCCACTGAAGGTGGGAGACCTGGCCTGGCCCAGCACTGGCCATTGCAGACATCTGGGAAGTGAACCAACAGATGGAATATCTCTTTCTCCCTCTCTCTGTCAAAATAAATAAATTTTAAAAGAAGAAAAAACATAAGCCTATACTTTTCTCTCACTACACCCTCTCTGAGCAACCTCAATTATTTCCAACTGTCCACCTATATTAATCTACTTAATAGAAAAAAGCACAAGCTGTTCTGCATTTACAGAGGTAGACATTTAGAAACAAAGTAAATGTGAACAAATAAACTTAACACTTTAAAGTAGGATATATCCATGCCACAGAACATGTGCAGCCACATTCTTGTGGGTCAAAACAGCATAGCAGTTAAGTATTTATAGACAGCTCATCTACAAAACTGTTTCCCGATTCTGATCTTCTTCAAAATACAAATAGTCCAAATCAGAGAGTGAAACAAAAAAGCATTACAACCCTGTTCAAATTGTCTGCCATCACTAGATTCGATGGAAAATTACTCCAGAGGCAGAACAAAATGGAGCCCAGAAGAGTCAGTCTGTATATGGGAAAAGTTACCCAATCCCTGCCAGAGTCTATTCTATAAACCCCCATATATTACTCTAAACCCTGTGTCCTGCACTACCTACCATTTAATTCTCACCAGGCCCTATCTATTCTTCCTAAGCATCTCTCACATGTTTCCACTTTGCACCTCTGAAATCGCCAATCCAGTGCTGGCCTCATCTCACACACAAAAGTCTCCCTGTGTTCTCTACAAAGTGCCCTTTTTTCAACCAAGATGTATCAAGTCACTCTGTTAGTGAAGGGAAGCCAATGGAGGATTTTACCTCTCAGCAATAAAAACTCCTTAAGCAAGACACCTTATAAAGCACTTCCCACTGGGCCTGAAGAACTCTCCTGCCTCCTCTGTTCCCTTCCCTTCCACAGTTCGCATTGCAGCCATGCCGGCCTTTCCATTCTGAACTGCACAAATACGATTTTCAGGCCACAGCTGAAAATACTTAGGGAGATTACTCCTGACCCCATTATATAATCCCTATACTTCCTAACAGAAAAAGTCACGTATACATTTTCCACTAGATCACAAGGTCTCAGAAGGCTTGTCTCCAATATTGTACACCAGTGTCTAGTAGAAAAGTATGCTATTAAGCACATAGCCAACAAATACTTGATAAAAGACTAATCAGAAATAATTATATTTAGCAATACTGGTCATCAGTTAAGGCTGACTTCCTAATGCACAATGAGAATAACTTGTCTAAATATCCTACAGCTAACAAGTAGTAGAGCTCGGGCAGATTCCATGAATTCCTGGTTTCTTTCTCGGCCTTACTCCAGCCTTCAATTAATTCACGCGAATTCCACCAAACCAGTAAGTTCTGTCTCCGTGTCCTACCTCTATGGAACGGTTTCAAGACCAACTGTATCACTTGCACCATCTTCCACTCTGAAACTACTTCTGCCCCATGTGGAGGAAGTGTCAGAGGCGGAAAGAACCGCTCCGAGAAGCAGGGTCGGGGAATTTCAGTGCTTTGCTTCTGCGAGTTCTGGTGAGAACTCTTCGGGCCCTTAGAGCAGGACAATCTCGAACATTAAACTTAAACATTAATCTCGAACATTAAACTTCTCAGTAACGGGCAGCAACAGCAACTTCTCTCCCCTTCGGCCTCCTCCTAGCGAGAAGTGAGGCCGTTCGCCAAGAAGCCTGGCTCTCTACCCAACCTTTGATTTCCGGAGAAGGCGCCCAGAACGAGGCGGCCGGATAAGGGGAAGCCGCTGCGGGTAACCCGACCCGGAGACGTCCCCAGAGCCTGCATCCTTGCCCGGCCACCTTCAGCTCCTCCAGGGGCTGGCAGCCCTACCCCCGCCCCGGGAGGCCGGCTGGGCGGAGCTTACGGCCCGCACCACGCGGGGCCCTGGGCGGTGTCTGTGCCCAGGTCTCGCCGCCCCGCCGTTCGCCCCCGGTCCCCCTACCTGACTCGGTGGTCGCCACCAAGGCTGTCTCAACCCTCAGAATCTGCGCCGGAGCCCAACAAGATAACAGGGAGGAAGAGGCCTTTGGGGCTGAGCACGCGACTCGGGACAGAGAGGCTCCACGCGCTAGTACAGACCCGTCTCGGTAGAAACTTTCTCCGTTACCGGCCCTAACACGGCCGCCATCTTTCCGCCGCGGGGTCCGCGACGGTACGGAGCGCCGCCGGGGTCAAACCGCGCAGCGCGCTTCCTCTCCGAGGCCCGGCCCCCGCTCCCTGGCCCAAGCCCGCGCGCCGCGGCGGAGCCAGGTGCTGCCGTCTCTGCGCCGGTGACCGCCGCCCCGCTTAGAGCGGCGGCCCGGGCTCGGCCAACGCTTCTGCCGGGACCTGGAGCCCGCGGAAGAGAACAGGCTGACTGTGCCCAGGAAACATCTAGGCCACCGCCTCGGGGTGGACCGAAACTGGGGCGGGACGGGCGGGGAGGGGCACGTGTGGACTGTCAATACCGCAGGAGACGTCGCTACTGTTTAATAGACAAGGATGTGGCCTAATATGCAGCTTCGTGCCCACTGGCCAGCCAACGCCCAAGCTCAGGTGGCCTTCAAAGCCCTCCTCATCTGGCCCCAGCTTAGCTTTCTAATTAAGTCTGACGTTAATCCACCGACACCCTTAGCACTGCCCACCCCGCCGAGGAGCCTAAAAAACTTAATGGAAATATTTTTTGAGGCACTATTTCAAAACGTATAGCCAAATGGGTATGGGGTTCGAATCGTAGTTGCAATCTCAATTTCTGCGTCTGCAAAATGGTAATGAAATTTTCTTTGCAGGATTTTTGTGACTATTCAATGAAACAGTATTTTTTTCTTTCCTGGCGTATGGTAGCATAAAAAAGTTACTCACTTAAAAAACTTACTTGTTAAAGCACAGTAAGGAAGAGTTTTTCTGGACGGTCACCATAAGTATAGGAGCCGCTGTAATGGGGTTGAAATTGGGCTCAACTCCAGCAAGGGAATTTATAGCCAAGCAGCCAGGGGGGAGGGTATGAGAGTGGATGTGAAATTACTAAGAGAAATGTCCGGGGTGAGAGAGAACCGGGTATTCAAACATCACCTGGTGGAGTCTGTGGATAGAGGAGTAAGGAAGTTGATCAGATTAATTAAGGACAGAGAGGTTTGCTAAACTGAGTTAGCAGAATTCTTTTGCTAAAACTGTACTCTTTCGAGGAAGCCCAGGATGGGCCCAGAAGATGGTTTAGAAGCCTCCATAAAGTTTGGCCAGCAAGGAATCTGTCAATAGGTCCTCAAAAAGTCTAAGTTCTCTTCTTTCCTAAGAAACCCTTCAAGCCTGCTGTCCCTCTAGTCTACATCATTTTCTATGGCTTGCAGTTCTTAGGTCAAATCATCTCCAAGTCCACTTCCCTCAGATGTCAATGGCTGTTGATAATGCTTATTTTACAGGGTTATTGTACAATTAAATGAAAGGACATATCTAAACTTAAAAACAAAACCTTAAAACCTTCAGATGAAACTCAAAATCCTTAAATAAGTGTCCACAAGTAGTCTGCCCCCTTTGTAGCTCCAGCTTCAAGGCCATCCATACAATTCTCTACACCTCTTCCTATTTTCATTTCCCAAATACACAGATATTTCTGGTCTTACTATTTGCCTAGTGCCCGATATCTAGTTGGCATTTCAACATTTGTAAGATAATAGTGTACTATAGGTCCTTAATAATTCGTAGTCCTTTCCCCCCACATGTGTTGTATAGGTATGATCTGTGCAGTAGTACTGTCCCCCCAAATGGAGTGTGAATTTCTTTGATTTAATAGATGTTGGAGTTGGTGTGGGTTGCATATCCATAGAGTTCAACCACTCTCAGATTCAGATTGCAAATATGTAGATGAAAAGTCTGAGCTAGATTCTCTCTAGACTTATATATAATTATTTTAAATTGATATGAGAATGCACATATTTATGGGATGTCCTGTGATGTTTTGAATCAAGGTAAATATCTTTCCACTCATTTATCACCTTTTTGGGTGTAAAAAACATTCAAAATCCTTTAGACACTTGTCTAATTTTCAATGCAGTTTTAACCAACTCCCACATATGTAACTCTGGCTCTTTGGGAGAACACCAGTGTCACATTTATAATTACCTGATAAGTGTTCCCACTCGAATATATTGTCTTCACTTCCAATTCAACTTGCCTTAATTAAGTGGACATTTAAAAATTTATGTTTTGGCCGGCGCCGCGGCTCACTAGGCTAATCCTCCGCCTTGTGGCGCCGGCACACCCGGTTCTAGTCCCGGTCCGGGCGCCGGATTCTGTCCCGGTTGCCCCTCTTCCAGGCCAGCTCTCTGCTGGGGCCCGGGAGTGCAGTGGAGGATGGCCCAAGTGCTTGGGCCCTGCACCCCATGGGAGACCAGGATAAGTACCTGGCTCCTGCCATCGGATCAGCGCAGTACGCCGGCCACAGCGCGCCGGCTGCGGCAGCCATTGGAGGGTGAACCAACGGCAAAGGAAGACCTTTCTCTCTGTCTGTCTCTCTCACTGTCCACTCTGCCTGTCAAAAATAAATAAATAAAAAATTTATGTTTTGATGCCTACGATCTGAATCCTGGTCTGGATTTAGGGAATCTCCCACCTTAGAGGAGTTTAGTAGCTGAAGCTGAAATGCCAAATACATGCTCAAACCATCATGTATGCCATCTGGAAGTTAATGATGCAAAAGGACAGTCACAGAAAGCTACACTCCCTGGGCAATTGCAGGAGTGTAGCAAGGTAAACTCCTGATGCAGTAGTGAGAGTGGTTCTTGTGGTGGCATCTGGCTTCCAGTGTTAATAGGGCAGAGGTGCACCCAGAGCCTCTACCAGTCAATTCTATAACCTGTGGTAGACCGAATGTCTAGGTACCCTGAACTGCCAGCAAACCTTTGAGCTTTCAATCATACTCTAACAAATTTCATTTTTGCTTAAATCAGCTATAGCTGTTTTCTGTTATATAGCACTAAGACCTTTCACTAAACCATTGCTTTATCATCTTTGTTCTCAAACTTGACCCACTGGTGACCTTGAAACTATTTTTGATGCTTTTCATCTTGTCCCTATACTTTAGAATATTTAAATGAGGCCGGCGTCGCAGCTCACTAGGCTAATCCTCCGCCTAGCGGCGCCGGCACACCAGGTTCTAGTCCCGGTTGGGGCGCCGGGTTCTGTCCCGGTTGCCCCTCTTCCAGGCCAGCTCTCTGCTGTGGCCAGGGAGTGCAGTGGAGGATGGCCCAGGTGCTTGGGCCCTGCACCCCATGGGAGACCAGGAGAAGCACCTGGCTCCTGGCTCCTGCCATCGGATCAGTGCGGTGCGCTGGCCACAGCGCGCCGGCCGCGGCGGCCATTGGAGAGGTGAACCAACGGCAAAGGAAGACCTTTCTCTCTGTCTCTCTCTCTCACTGTCCACTCTGCCTGTCAAAAAAAAAAATAAAAATAAAAATAAAAGAATATTTAAATGAGATGAGTATACATTTGGAAATTATTCTGAACATTCCAAGGCAAGTAATTAGCATTTGAAAGACAGTAATTAGGAATCTTCACTGCAGAGTTGGATGCACAAATGCTTCTACTAGCACCATATAAACCTGCGCTAGAGGCATGTTAGTTAGCATAAAGGATTAGAAGGAAGTTTTCATTGTAGAGTAAGAAATGTGCAAGTTATATGACCAGCTGGAAGATTGTGTATGCACCTCTGCCCTGAGAGAAATGTGCTAGAAAAATCTATTGAGTTAGCACACTGACACTCTTCAGAATGGCTCCAAGTCTAGAGTGTTCAGTACTCCACAACAAGGTACTGTTTGTGTACTGCTTTTTGCAGTAGCATTTAGTCTGAAGCTAGCTTTCATTGTAGGACACCACGAAGTAGGGAAGGAGACAGGTTGCTCTCATCAATCTGGTTTTCAGAGTACCAGCCTGTCACTTCTGAGAGTCAAGTTAGTGACTTCTGGATGCTGCTGAATGAAGTCCAACTTCCTTACTCAGGCACCTGAGGCCCTCCAAAGCCTGATCGAAATCTCCCTTTGCCTGGTGCTATTTATCCTGAAATTCGTGTCTGGATCAGCTCCTGACATGTGGAACATCCACAGTAAAATACCTGGATATCAGACGGCCACCTGGGAAATCATTTCAGTGACAGGAGGTTTTAGCTTATGGTTATTAATGGCAGTGTAGTGATACTAATGGGTGGAACACCCATTCTTCAATACCCACATCATACAGGCAAGATTCAGGGTCAGGAATTTCACCAACAGGAGTTACTTCAGACTAAGAATACCTGTTGAAAAGTTATTCTTGATAGTGAAAAATCAAACAGAAGAGGGAGCAGGTCCCTCCCAGGTGCAATAGCTAATCTTATCTTACACTCCAGATGTCTGGCATGGAGTCTCAGATGAGATCTGTACTATTTCTGTCTGTCTTCTCTCATTTTCCTTCTACCCCTTTCAATCCCTCAACCCAGAATCAGTCTAAACTAACTCGGGCTCTTTGAAGGCCTTCTGCAAGGTCTATTCCTTGGATAGTTTATACCACATTTTTTTTTTTTTTTTTACAAAGTGCTGTTACTTATTTGTATCATACAATGTTCAGAGAAACCCAGTGGTTTAGGTGTTTTCCATCATTTTACAAATAAAGTAACCAAGGCTCCGTGAAGCTGCATTGTTTCAGGTCCTCAAAACTGTGTTAGAGCAGAGACTGAAACCTGTCTTTTGGTTTAAAGTTCTAGACTATGAAGTGCAGTTTTCTGAATAACAGTGCCCTTCTCTGGGCCAACACAGGTATTTCCAGCTCATTATTGCTGTTCACAGTTAGCAGGGAAAGTGTTACAGTGTTCAAGCCTGGCTACATCTGAGAATCGTCTGGAAGATCTTTAACCTACACATGCGGCACCCCCCCACACACACACACCCCGTAAGTGATTCTAATGTAAAGCAAGGGTTGAGGACTGCTGTGGGGGATTCTTCTGCAAGCAGGGTCCCCATGCCAGCTACTTCAGCATCACCTGGAACAAATCTTTAAAAAAAAGAAAAAAAAGGCAGAATCTCACATACACACACACACACACACACAGAGGAGAGAGAGAGAGAGAGAGAGAGAGAGAGAGAGAGAGAGAGAGAGAGAAACTTCCATCTGCTAGTTCACTCCCCAAATGGCCCAAATTGGGCCAGGCTGAAGCCAGGAGCTTCTTTTGGGTCTCCCACATCGGAGCAGGGGTGCAAGTACTTGAGCCATCCTCCACTGCTTTCCCAGGTGCATCAGTAGGGAGCTGGATTGGACGTAGAGCAGCCAGGGCTCAAACCAGTGCCCATATGAGATGCAGGCACTGCAGGTAGCAACTTAACC